AAATATATTGCTTACCTGATTATATATTTCTGTTCTAATCTGTCACATTGTTTTATCCCGGAAGTTTAGTACAATTTACATACCTGAATTTTTCTATGAAAACTATCTCTCAATGAAAGAGATGGTTTCGAGTTGATCTGAGAAGTACGTGGAAATAATAAATTACTGAATCCAGTAGTTTTCTTTTTTTTTTTTCTATGTACTTTTCTTACAACAGTCTTATTTTAATTCATATCAAGACAGAAAGAGGAGATCTACTTATAACGATTTATTATGCGCAGCTTAGATGAAATACAACGCCGAAGTTGTGGAGTACCTTGTAAAGATCGAGCTCACTACTAAGTCGTAATATATCGATCATGACAAACTTGCTAACCATTACACAAAGTCGAGGTACCGCTTGATATATTTATAAGTATACAAAGTGCGTAACGGTTAGCGGAGCTGAAAGTGGAGGTGCCGAGCGGAGTTCATAATACGGTCAGTTCTGTTTTCTTTCCCGTGTCGTAATTGATCTTAGAATAGGCATAGATTTACCTTTATGAAGCTATAGTTTAATGAAAAGCGCGGACTAAGTTTTTGGGCTTTGGCTGCCAGTCATTTTAAGAGAAGGTAAAATCTGATTTAAGCCTGCGAAAGACTGAAAATTACTTGATATGGTCTAAGCCATTTCACTTCTATTGAAAAGTGTGTTTCGTTCTACACAAAACCTGAACCATTTTAATCAAATCGTCTGTTTGAGTTGTTTAGTGATTCAGGCCTAAACCGAAAACGATTGAGCCCTAACACTTTAAAATGGAGGAGAGATTCTATCCTCATATTCTACCACATATATGCTATCATGTGAGTATGTTTGTGTAATCAGTCGGTGAATGTAACTGTCAACCTCATTCGGCATGTAAATCTTTCGATATAATTTATGGAATAAGCATATATACTTTTAAGATGTGATATATTTATGTGTTAGAGTGCTCAACATCAGGGATAGAACGTATGTAAATGTTGACATAGAGGTAACACCTAGCGGCGACAGTGTTTCATGCTTAAATGTAATCTACAGGGCATATATATATATATTATTTTGATTTCTTTGTAGGTCTTGAAGATAGAGAGCTGCTTTTTTTAGAGCTCTCATGAAATAAAATTATAACCTATGGATTTTTATGTGTTTAATATTCTTTAATTAACAATAATTTTGTTCTGTCTTTTGACAGAGCTCTCTGGATCTATATCGTCCTGGAAACTCCATACAGAATACCATATTGTATCAGTATGATATATATATATATATATATATACACACACACCATATTGTATCATTATATACACATATATGTGTGTATGTTTTACATTTATATGTTTGTGTGTGTATATATTTCAGCATTATAGTGGTGAGAAAAAAAAAACAGTGTTTGCATAAAGATTTCTGCGTGTATGGGTGCCAAAATAAAAATAATATATATATATATATATATATATATATATATATATATATATATATAGATAAGACACAAGTGTGTTGAAACAAAATAGCTATTTTTGTAGTGATTTTATAACATACTTATGTTATAATTTTTTTTATAAAAAATATATATATATATATATATATATATATATATATATATATAATGAATTGACTTCAGTATACTAGATGAAAGAGTGAATTCCATAATGCTTACCTAACAGAAAATAATTTTTTTCTTGGATCTGTAAAATATGCGTTTAGCTATTGAAAGAAATGTAGAAATATAAACTTCAGTGAAACGATTGTGATGAACACGAATCGAAACAAAAGTTTTGCAAAGATTACCTCATTGTAAAGAAAAAACGTAAAATGTCTGCAATGGAAATGATAATGAGAAAGCAAGGAAGATAATCCTGCTAATTGATATTCGTTAACAAAACAATCAGATGAAAAATGGAACTCAAAATAAAAATAACGAGAAAGTCCTTCATTCTTTCTATTTGAATAGACTTGTGTAGTTTCGATTTCTTTTATTCTTTTTTCAAACATTAACGATTTTTACGGAAAGAGCTGCAAACGAAACAATCTTAATTATTTCATTATTCCAGAAATAATGATAACACGAACAGAATGTAATTATTAAAGCTGTTATGAATTTAAATACACATCGTCAAAAGATTTCTTTTCAATTTCAAGTTCATACTTAAGAAAAAAGATTATTTATACCATAAATTATTTTATACCATAAAACCAGGAACAGCCATTTAAAAAAGCATCCATTGTTTTGTCTTAAACTTGTTTAATAATGCTTTAGTTTATATTGTGTGAGATCACACACATTATATATATATATATATATATATATATATATATATATATATATATATATATATATATATATATATACACCTATAGTTTTAAGGTGTGCTATATTTGTGGGATAAAGTGCTCAATATCAGAGATAGAACGTATGTAAATATCAATATAAAATGAACATTGAAGTCAACTCTCAGAGGCGACAGTGTTTTCAGGCCAGACGCAATCCTCGGGCCTGACGAATGCGTCTAGCAGGAAACAGCCTGTCGATTTCTGAGTTTTGACTTCAATGTTCAATTATATATATATATATATATATATATATATATATATATATATATATATATATATGTGTGTGTGTGTGTGTGTGTGTGTATGATAAAATATAGTTCTAATGTATGCTATATTCATGGGTTAAAGTGCTCAATATCAGGAATTGAGTATATATAAATATAAAAATTGGACATTAAAGTCAACACCCACAGGCGACAGTCTATTTCATGCTAAAATCAAACGTTACACCGCTTGGTGTAGTCTTCAATGTCCATTTATATATATATATATATATATATATATATATATATATATATTTGTATGTATGTGAGTGTGTGTTAAAGTATTCATACAAAATTAAATTTGTCACTTAGCTGATTGATATTATATTCAGCACCACGTCTCTGAAATTTCTTATACGAACCTTTTTGTAATCTTCTTGTCCATCCGTCATGTGGTATCAATGTTATTTTAGACACCAAGAATATCACCAAATGATTACCCGCAACAATGTCTGACCGTTTTAGTTTTTTCTTGAATTTTGACAATTTTTGAATAACATGTCGTACATCAGGATCAAAATTCTGAATAGACTACCAGAAGGTCATGACTTGTACTGATATTTTTATTTAAGTCAAAAATAGCTAGAAATCACTTGGACAAAAACAAAATAACTTAACTTAGTCTTCTAATGAGAGTAATCAAATAACATTAGGAATTCAAATGCTCCCAAATCACTACTTTTTGCTTCATCTGTACAGAGTTGGAATACAAATGCTATTATCATATCTACAAGTAACAGGGAATAAATTATAGATTTTTATATTATTATATTATTTTTAATTGTTATTTTGTGTATTGATACAAATAATTCAAACGTAATTCAAGCTTTATATTTGAGGTACAAACATGAAAATAAAAGCATCATGTTCCTGTCATTCCTAATATTTATTTAACCCGGTGGCAATGTATCACAACGCAACGTAACCTTTACGTGACGCTGAGTGATATAAAGAAATACTTTTTGTGACTCCCGTTGCTGAGAATGAACCGAGCCGAACATTACGTTACCCACGAATTCTTTTATTAACATTCCTTTAAAATGAAAAAAAAATATAGACACTGTCTTTTCTTCCTTAATTTAAAGCCTCGGAACAGTGTAGTTTGATTCAGATAGAACTTTGAAAAACCATTGTAAAAGTAACATTAAAAATGCGTTCAGTTATAACGACTTGTCAAAAATATACATTTAAAAAAAGTGGGTGGTGGGGGTCTGGTAATAATTCCAAGCAAATCATGAAAGGATAAGGAATTCTCAAAATTTTAAAATATATATTAATGGTAATATTAAACGTTTCCCTATACGGAAATATTTTATATTCACTGACCGAGCTGCCAATAATGCCGTCGGCTGAAATTTATAAAATATTTCTCTGAAAACGTTTTTTTTTCTGGAAAATAGGTTTCTCACCTCCAGTAGCTTTTATCGTTTTTTGGGGGTTTTTTTTTCAGTATTGATAGGGGTGTCCCTTAAACATTTATAGTAGTGTGAAATCATAACATTTTGATTATGATATTATCTTTACTTCAAATTATATGTGCTAATCCTTTTACTTTTTCCTGCTATTCATAGTCCTCAAGTGATGTGTTTTCTGTTATTTGGCATCTTTCTTTCATCGTGATTCTGTGGCGTCATTTCACAACGTTGAAAGTGTGGTCTTTGCCAAAACCCACTGGCTTCACTCGCAGAAAGTCATTTTTTAAAACAAAATCCATGGTCTTTAATCGAAATAATTCTTTGAAAGATAAAGGGTCATTGATTGATTGATTGATTGATTCTTTTTTACGATTTATCAACCCTTTGCAGGTTATTTAAAGAGAGAAAATATTTTTAGATTGTAAGAATTTCTTTCGGAGATAATAATTTGGTGATACAATTCTTACTAATTAACCCATAGATGGGAGGGAGTAGAGGTGGAGTCATATCTAATCAGAATTTGATAAACAGGAAATTATAATGCGGATATAAACTGGGGGATCAATTCTATGTTACAATCAATAGATGAAAAGATCCCTCACTTTGTAGCCAGAATAGTTTCTCTTCATTTACATTCCAGAGAATGTAAATAAATCTAAAAGTCAGGCCTGCGTAGCTAATGAGTATGTAATTGAGTGATTGATTAATTTTCTAGTTTATCAATACCTATGCAGGTTATTCCAATACAGAAAAAACATTTTTTAGATTTTAAGTAGCTATTTTTAAGATAATGATTTAGCAATACAACTATTACTAATTAACCCATATCCGAGGGAGAAGAGTTGGAGTTGTACCTTTTCCAAGGGTATCTGCGCGTAAGTGAATATAATGAAATTAACGGGAATTGAAACTCAGTCTTCCGATTCAAAATTCCGAACCATTACCAATTACACCACCCGAACATCCAAG